TAATTAAATACTATAATTAGTTAATACTTTATCTATCACTATAAGAATGGTAACAATACTTTTTATATTTTTATACTTTTATATATTTATACTTTTTATACTTTTTATATTTTTATACTTATCTATTCTGAGTAAATATAATTTAACCAATTAAAATTCTTGAAGATTTATACTTTTTCTTCTTTATTTCTCTATTTAGTAAATTAGAATTCTATTTTTAGTTAGTATAATTATCTTTTATATCTTTTTCTTGTTTTCAATATTATATATGTATTTCGAAGAAAATATATAAATATAAGTTGTAATTGAGCTCTAACTCAATATGTCAAAACTTGAGAATAAATAATATAATAAACAAATATCTTTTAATACTTAAACAATTTGTTTTCCCCTTTCAATTATATACTTTAAATCTTGTAAACAAATAACTTTGAAATCATATTGAGCTAATCAAAATGTTAATATTGAATTATTAAATTAATATTTTGTTATAAACTAGTCTTTTGATATTTTTGTTATAATTAAATTATTTGGAATTCCTTAACTAAAAATATTGTAATCTTTTTCTTGTAAGAAGAATAAAGTGAAAGAATTTTTATTATTTTTGTTATTTTTATTATTTTAGTTATTTTAATTAGTTAGTTAATTTATTAGTTACTTAAATTAAATAATTTATAAATTAATTAGTTAATATAGTTATTCATAATACTATATCTAATTAAAATATTATTACTTTATTCTTTTTCTCTCTTAAACTATAACAATTTTAGTAGAAATTGATATATTATTCTTTCAACTCTTGTTTATATTTATTAGTTAATTATTTAATTAGTGAAAATTATATAATAATATATTTGATTTTGTACTAGTAAAACTAATTATATATATTTTCATATTCTTATATTTGATAATTCCAGTATTAATATAATATTTTATTAATATAATTATCCAATTAATTACTAATTAACAATTAATAATTTATTTGATCAATTATTATAAAAAAAGATAGAATTAATTCTATTATATATATAGAATTAATTATTAAATTAGTTCATATAATTCAATATATTAAATAATTAAATAAATATTTTTGTTAATAAATGCATATTTTAATTTATTATAATATTAATTAACAAATTAACTAACTATATATATACTATAATCAATTATATATATACTATTAACTAATAGATTATATTAATATATACAGTCAAATCTCTCTTTAGTCACATTTATTTATAGTCACACTCCTCTATAGTCACTCTATTTTGCTTTCCTATTTATATATAAATATAGTAAAAAAAATCTCTTTATAATCACATTCACTCTATAGTCATCAAATTTTGCTTTTCTAAGAGTGGTGACTATAGAGAGATTTAACTATATACTATTAACTAATAAATCATATTAATTAATATATATATAATATTAATTAACTTATAAATAGATATATTGATTAATATAATATAGTATTAACTAACTTATTATAATATATTAAATAATAAGTTGATATTAAATAATATATATAATAATAAAAAACAATATTTCAAAAATTTTCTAATAAATAATATTTTTATTTATATATTTTTGTAAATATAAATTTTAATATAATAATTATCTAATAATAAAATAATTAATCAAAAAAGTAAAAATAATATATTAAAAATAAAAAAATAAAAATAAGAAATAAAATATCTTTGAATTATTTTTGTTATTATTTCTTTTTTTAAATAATTTTTGGTTTTTAATTATTTTATAAATTTTAAAAATTAAAAAAAATTGTATTACTATTATAATAATATTATATATTATTTATATATTTTTTTATATAAAATAATTATTATTATTATAATTTGTCAAGCTCAAATAATAAATTAGTTTTTTCAACTAATATATTTTTTATTTAAGTAATTATATTATATAATAAGTTAATATTTTTATAATATATATTTATTTTATTTTTTTACTTATTATATTAATTTAAAAATAAAATATTTGTTTACAAAAAATCTATATATATATATATATATATATAAGCATCTATTTTGATTAATAAATAATATTTTAAATAAATAATTAACTTTATAAAATTAGTTACTTGACTAATTAAGATAAATATATAAATAAAGAGCTTATTCTTAAGTTTTTGTTTTTTATCACAAAATTTATTAACTTTATATAAATATCTTACAGCAAAAAATATACTATAAGAATTATTTTGCTTTCAAAATAAAAAAAATATTTTTATATTTTTAAATCTTGAAAAAATATTTTTAATTTTAAAAATATATCTTATATTTTTAAATAATATAAATATAAAAATCTTTAATTAAAAATATAATATAAAATATTTAAAAATATTAATCATTTAACTTGTTTAATTTTGGTTTCAAAAATCAACAGAATTTAAAATAAATTAAAAAAATTAATTTCTAATTAATTGTGAAAAATTTATATTATTATTATAATATATATATATTATTTACTAAATAATTTATTATAATATCAAAAAATAATAAAATATAACTTTAATTAATTAATTCAAATTAATTTAATTATATTATTTTATTAATTGTTAATTATATGAAAATAATAATTTTTAAATAAATACAATATAAAATATTTAAAAATATTAATTATATAACTTGTTTTGTTTTTGATTCAAAAAATCAAACAAAATTCAAATAGATTAAAAAATTAATATTTGATCACTTGCAAAAAATCATATAATTATCATTTTATATATATATATTATTTACTAAGTAATTTATTAATTTATTATAATAATCAATAAAATAACAAAATATGATTTATAATTAATTAATCAAATTTGATTTGACAATTACAGATTATATTATTTGTCTTATTGATTATTTATTAATTATAGAAAAATAGTAATTATTTTAAAAATAGAATTACTATTTATAGCTAAATCTATTTACTACAAAATAGCAGCCTTCTTTTTTTGTATAATCTTTTAAAAATAACTAAATTTTATTGATATCTTTAAGTGTTCTATACTGTACTAATCAAAAATGAATAATTATTTTTAAAAAGAGAATTGCTATTTACTATAAAATAGCAGCCTTCTTTTTTTTGTATGATCTTTATATGATCTTTATATGAAGATCCTTTGCCTTTTAAAAATGACTAATTTTATTGCCATCTTTAAGTGTTCAGCTCTGTAAAATAGTAAGACAATCATAAGTTGTTGATAATTACATCAATTATCCATTTACCATTCCATGCTTCTCTTATGAATTTCTCGAATGTTGGTGGAATGTCATCTGGAATTAATAGGCATGTTCCCGCAATTATTGCAATTTTTAGATTTTCATCTTCGATTTTGGAAAATGGTTTTTACCATTCCATTCCGAAACTAGCGCTAGTGTATGGATACAAAAATCGATGTTTAATTATACGCGTATAATGAATTACAGCATATTGATACCAGATATTGCAACAAATATCTATACACATCCATTTCTTCTCGTAAGAAACATAATATTTTATGTTGCTTATTTGTTTCTCTGCTCGAATTTTCTCTGGAGCTTTCCACCT